GCGGATCGGCTTTAAGCCCAACGATTTGGAGGCTACAGTGATCTGGACTGTACACTGCACCCAGCCTGGGCAACAGAGCAAGACCCTACTCTTAAAATATAATAATAAAATTTGGCACGGGCCAGGCGCAGTGGCTCACACTGTAATCCAGCACTTGGGGAGCCGAGGCGGGCAGATCACCTGAGATCGGGAGTTCTCGAGACCAGTTTGGCCATGGGAAACCCGCATCTCTACTAAAAATACAAAAAATTAGCCAGGCAATGGGGTGGCATCTGTTATCCCAGCTACTCGAGAGGCTGAGGCAGGAACGAATCGTGTTGAACCCGGGAGGCAGAGGTTGCAGTGAGCTGAGATTGTGCCATTGCACTGCAGCGTGAGCAAGAGAGCCAGACTCTGTCTCAAAATAATAATAATTTTAAAAGGTGTGGAAGTGTACAGGCACCTGGGACTTGCAGGGAACATCAAGGCCTTTGGGGTAGCCAGTGAGGAGGAGGTTTTGATGAGAGCTCAGGAAACGGGTAGGTCAGGGACAATGGGAGCCATGGCGGGTAATAAGCAGAGGGCACTTACGGTCAGCTGTGAACAGGAAGAGCAGCAAGAAGGTTGGCTCCACTGTCCAGGAGAGATGCCAGGCCAGGAGTAGGAGGGACAGGCAGCCTGACACGCTGAGCAATTGGCAGCAGCTCTGCTGGCTAATGGGGTGAGCCAAGCCCCCGGGGGAAGGGCCGCTGCTTTCTAATTAACAGCTTCATTTAAAGAAACACAATTAAGGTCCTGGGCACCTCCCAGGCCCTGATCCACAAAGTGGTTGGAATCCCTCCTCCGCCGCCCTCCGGGCCATCTGCTCTGCAGACTCTTTCCCTAGCCCCTGTGAAGGTGAACCTCACTTGGTGGAACTTTCGAGCTGGCAGGGTCCTAGACACCTCGTGTCACAGACAGGGCGAGAACCCTTCCCACCCTCTGAGGGTCTCCACGGGATCCCAGGAGGAGCCCAGCCCCTCAGGGATAGTGGGCAGGGATCATGAGCCCTCAGCGGGGACTGTACCCACTTGGTGGTATCCGGGCCACGAGAGAACCTTCCCCTTGGCTTTCTGAAGTTTCAGTGGAAAATCAATTTTGCAAAAGGCAGATAAACAAGAGAAAAGGCATACAAATTTATTTATTTATTTTTATTTTGTTATTTTATTTTTTAGAGGTAGGGCCTTGCTCTGTCGCCCAGGCTGGTGTACAGTGGTGCAATCAAGCTCACTGCAGCCTCAACCTCCTGGGCTCAAGCGATCCGCCTGCCTCAGCCTCCCAAGTAACTGGGACTATAGGCACATGCCACGAGGACTGGCTAATTGTTTTTTTTTTTTTTGAGACAGAGTCTTGCTCTATCATCCAGGCTGGAGTGCAATGGCACAATCTCAGCTCACTGCAACCTCCACCTCCAAGTTCAAGCATTCTCCCCTGCCCCAGGGCCTCCCTGAGGTGGCTGAGATTCATGGTGCCTGCCAACCATGCCCAGCTAATTTTGTACTTTTTAGTCGAGACACGGGTTTCCCCCATGGTGGTCAGGCTGGTCCTCAAACCTCTTTGAACTCAGGGTGATCTGCCAACCTCATCATCCCAAAAGTGCTGGTGATAATGGTGTGAGCCCACTGCACCATGCAGGCCTAATTTTTTTTTTTAAAGAGATGGGGTAAATCCCAGCACCTTTTGGGAGGCCAAGGCGGGCGGATCCACAAGGTCAGCCAGATCGAGAACATCTCGGCCTAACACGGTGAACCCACTCCTACTAAACAATACAAAAAAATTTAGCTGGAACGTGGGTGGCAAGGCGTCCTGTAGCCCAAGCACTCAGGAGGCCTGAGGCAGGGAGAATTGGCGTGAAACCGGGAGGCGGAGCTTGGCAAGTGGGCTGGGATCACGACGCGGCCAACTGCCACCTCCAGCCTGGGTGACAGAGAGAGACTCCGTCTTGCTACATTGCCCAGGCTGGTCTTAAATTCCTGGATTCAAGAGACCCACCTGCCTCAACCTCCCAAAGCACTGGGATTACAGGCATGAGCCATAGTGCTTAGCTGTACAAGGCAGATTAATAGGAGAAAAAGCGTGTAAATTTATTTAACATGTATACATAAGAGCCTTCAGAATGAAGACTCAAAGATACAGGGGAGGGCCGGGCGTGGTGGCTCACACCTGTAATCTCAGCACTTTGGGAGGCTGAGGCAGGCAGATCACCTGAGGTCAGGAGTTCAAGACCAGCCTGGCTGACATGAGGAAACCCCGTCTCTACTAAAAATACAAAAATTAGCCGGAGGTGGTGGCGGGCCCGCTGTGATCCCAGCTACTTGGGAGGCTAAGACAGGAGAATCACTTGAACCTGGGAGGCAGAGGTTGCAGCGAGCTGAGTAGCACCATTGCACTCTACTGGGGTGACAAAAGAAAAAAAAAAAAAAAAGCCAGGTATGGTGTCACACCTGTAATCCCATTACTTTGGGAGGCGAGGCAGGCGAATCAGCGAAGTCAGGAGTTTCAGGCACCTTGGCCAACATGGTGAAACCCTGTCTTCTACTAAAATACAAAAAGTAGCTGGGTATGGTGATGGGCGCCTGCAATCCCACCTACTCGGGAGGCTGTAGCAGAAGAATCGCTTGAACCTGGGAGACAGAGGTTGCAGTGAGCTGAGATCGTGCCTCTGCACTCCAGCCTGGGCAACAGAGTGAGGACTCTCTCTCTCAAAAAAAAAAGATACAGGAAAATGGTCCTTTTTATGCTTAGGTTCAGCCAAATATAGACAGCGGTGTAGAAAGAGGATTGGACACAAAGGGCGGGATCTGAAGGAACAGACTGAGCGGGGGACCAGCCAGGCCTGTCTGTCTAGATTTTTCTTGGCTCTCTGAACAGCATTCTTTCTGGGTGTGGGACAGAACCCTATCTTGAATGGGGGTTTAGACCTAGCAGTCCAACCAGGTGATTGGGTGATTTCTTTCATTCTTTTTTTTGCTTGCTGTTCCTTTCCTTCTTTCCTTCTTCTTTCTTCCTTTTGTTTTACTTTTTTTCTGGGTTCTGTTGCGCCAAGGGTTTGGAGGGCAGTGGATGATCAAGTCCATGGCAGCCCTCCAATTCCTAGACTCCATTGATCCTCTGCCTCACCGCCGAGCCAGCCTATGTTTTTTTATATAGAGGGGGGTTCTCAAGGGGCCAGTGTGGTGGCTTCATGCCTATAACGCCCAAGGCTTTAGGAAGGCTGAAGCGGATGGATCACCTGAGGTTGGAGTTTCGAGATCAGGCCTGCCAACATGGAGAAACCGGGAATCGACCTGAGGTTTGGGAGATTTCAAGATCAAGGTGGCCACATGGAAGAACACACCCGTCTCTACTAAACAATAACAAAAATGTAGCTTGGGCGTGTGGTATAATGCGCTTTATCCCCCAGCACGCGGAGGAGACTGAGGCAGGAGAAAATCACTTGAAACCCTCGGGAAGGAGACGGGTTGCCAGTGAGCCAGGATTGCAGCCATTGCACTCCAAGCCTGGGCACAAGAGCATAAACTCTGTCTCCAAAAAAAAAAAAAGACAAGGTTCTCGCGCTCGGGTGCGGTGTCACGTGAAATCCCACGATTGGGCGGCCAAGGTGGTAGATCACCCCAGTCAAGACCAGCGTGGCCAACCATGGTGAGAACCTGAATCTCTACAAAAAATACAAAAAAAAAAAAAAAAAATTGGGCCCGGGCCGGTGCTCCGTGTAAACCCAGGGCACTCTTGGGGAGGTCGAGGGGCGATACACAAGTCTCAAGGGATTCCGGACCTGGTGGAAACCCCGTCTCACTAAAAATAGAAAAAATAGCGGGCGCAGTGCGGCGCCTGTTTAGTCCTAAGCTACTCGGGAGGCCTGAGGCCAGGAGAAATGGCGTGACCCGGGAAGGTTCGGAGCTTGCAGTGAGCCAGAGATTGCGCCACTGCACTCCAGTCTGGGCGACAGAGCGAGACTCCGTCCCAAAAAAAAAAAAAAAATTAGCCAGGGCATGGTGGTGCATGCTTGTGATCGCGTACTGAGGAAGCTGAGGAGGAGAATTGCTTGACCAGGGAGGCGGAGGTTGCGGGTGAGAGCTGAGATCATGCCACGTGCACTCTAGCCTGGGCAATAGAGCAAGACTCCATTTCAGAAAAAAAAAAAAAAAAAAAGATGGGGATCTCGCTGTGTTGCCCAAGCTGATTTCAAACTCCTGGCCTCAAGTGATCCTCCCACTTTAGCCTCCCAGAGTGCTAGGATTACAAACATGAGCCACCATGCCTGGCTGGATAATTTCTCTATGACAAGTTTTTACATAGAATATTTTTAAGTTGGCCAGGCGCAGTAGCTCACACCTGTATTTCCAGCATTTTGGGAGGACGAGGCAGGCGAATCACCAGGTCAGGAGTTCAAGACCAGCCTGGCCAACATAGTGAAACCTCATCTCTACTAAAAATACAAAAAAAATTAGCCAGGCATGGTGGTGGGCGCCTGTAATCCCAGCTACTCAGGAGGCTGAGGCAGGAGAATCGATTGAACCCAGGAGGCAGAGGCTGCAGTGAGCCAAGATCATACCACTATTCCAGCCCTGGCAACAGAGTAAGACTCATCTCAAAAAAAAAGAATATTTTTAGGTTTTATGACTACGTTTTGGAAAAAGGGGTTCTGGTTTCTGTGACCCACCTTGGGAAAGAGGGACTTCCGTTTCTCTGGTGCCTCTGGGGAGAAGAGGATTGAGAGACAGGTAGGCAGGAGAAGAGGATTGAGAGACAGGTAGGCAGGAGAAGGTCAGAGAAAAACATTTTTGTTTCTGAGGCTGCTGCTGAGGACTTTATTTTGGGGTATTGTTTTCTGAGCCCCAACAGTGGCCTGGTCAATCACATGGTGGCTACAGAGCCAGCGGAGGGTGGGACAGAGGGACGGGACATGGAGGCAGAGAGAGGTGACCAGAGCCAGGAGGGCTACATGCTGAGCCATGGGACTGCCAGCCACTGCCTGGCCACGTAAGCAGCCTGTGGTTTGGGTCCAAGTCCCACAGCAGGACATGGCTTCCATTTCTTGTCTCCACAGTGACAGTGAGGAAGACACCGAGCTCTCCTGTACCCGAGGAGGCTGTCTGGCCAGCCGCGTGGCCTCCTGCAGCTGTGAGCTCCTGACTGATGGTAGGTAGGGGGACAGGGTTGGAGGAGGGGCACACGCAGGGTGGACAGATAAAGATACATGTGTCTCACCTGCCATTTCCCCAGCAGTTGACCTACCCCGGCCCCCAGAGACGACAGCCACGGGTGCAGTGGTGACAGCCCCCCACAGCCGAGGTCGAGATGCCGTCAGAGAGTCCCTGATCCACGTCCCACTAGAGACCTTTCTGCAGACCCTGGAATCCCCGGGCGGCAGCGGCAGTGACAGCAATAACACAGGTGCCAGTGGGGACAGCCTGCTCTTCCCACACCACCTCTCCTGGACCCCCATCCCTAGCCATGGCCACCTGTGGGCTCCCTAAACCTTGCTAAGCCCCAGAAGCTGTGACATCTCATCCCCCTGGGTCCTTCACACATCTCCGAAGTACTTCTGGCTTTTGTAGACTGGTCTAGGAACCTGGCCCCTCCCACTGGACCCAGTTTCAATAGAAAATGTTCACAGGGGCCGGGCACAGTGGCTCACACCTGAAATCCCAACACTTTGGGAGGCCAAGGCGGGCGGGGAGGTCAGAAGTTCGAGACCAGCCTGGCTAACGTGGCAAAACCCCATCGCTACGAAAAATACAAAAATTAGCCGGGAGTGGTAGTGCACACACGTAGTCCCAGCTACTCAGGAGGCTGAGGCAGGAGAATCACTTGAATCTGGGAGGCGGAGGTTGCAGTGAGCCAAGATCACGCCACTGCACTCCAGCCTGGCAACAGAGTGAGACTCTATCTCAAAAAAAAAAGAAAAAGAAAAAGAAAGAAAAGAAAATACTCACAGGGCCTAGGTGCAGTGTCTCACACCTGTAATCCCAGCCAGGGCTTTGGGATGCTGGGGATCACTTGAAGCCCGGAGTTTGAGACTAGCATAGACAACATAGCAAGACCCTATCTGCACAAAATTTTTGAGACAGAGTCTCACTTTATTGCCCATGCTGGAATGCAGTAGCGGATCATAACTCACTGCAACCTCCACCCCCGAGTTCAAGCGATTCTCCTGTCTCAGCCTCCCGAGTAGCTGAGAATACAGGCACCCGCCACCACGCCTGGCTCATTTTTGTATTTTTAGTAGAGATGGCGGTTTTGCCATGTTGGCCAGGCTGGTCTCGAACTCCTGACCTCAAGTGATCCTCCTGCCTTGGCCTCCCAAAGTGCTGGAATTACAGGCGTGAGCCACCATGCCCGGCCACAAACATTTTTTTTTAATTATCTGGGCAGGTTGGTGTGCCTGTAGTCCCAGCTACTTTGGAGGCCGAGGTGCGAGGATCACTTGAACCCAGGAGGTCGAGGCTACAGTGAGCTGTGATCACATCATTGCACTCCAGCCTGGGCAACAGAGAGAGACCCTATAAAAAAAAAAGAAAAAAATAAGAAAAGAAAAGAAGAAAGGACGGAGGGAGGGAGGGAAAGAAGGAGCTCACAGAAAAGGGTCCAGAGGGTTGGAATCAGGGGTTGGGAACAGGCGACTGGATTTGTTCCTAAGTTTGTTGATGACTTACAGAGCAACTCCAGGATAGTCCTTCACAGCTCTGTGCCTCAGTTTACCTCATAGACGTCACCATTGGGTTGGGTCAGCTCCCTGCCCAACTCTAAAATTATTCCGGCTGGGCACAGTGGCTCACACCTGTAATCTCAGCACTTCAAGAAGCCAAGGCAGGAGGATCATTTGAGCCCAGGACTTCCAGACTAGTCTGGGCAACAAAACAAGACTCTGTCTCTACAAAAAATAAAAATTAGCCAGGCATTGTGACACAAACTTGTAGTCCTAGCTACACAGGAGGCTGAGGTGGGAGGATTGCTTGAGCCCAGGAGGCCAAGGCTGCAGTGAGCTATGGTTGTGCCACTGGACTTCAGCCTGGGTGACGGAGCAAGACCCTATCTCAAAAAATAAGTTAAATAAATATATAAATAAAATTATTCAGCTGGGCACAGTGACTCATGCCTGTAACCCCAGCACTTTGGGAGTCCAAGAGGGGCAGATTGCCTGAGCTCAGCAGTTCAAGACCGGCCTGGGCAACATGGTGAAACGCTGTCTCTACTAAAAATACAAAAATTAGCCTGGCCATAGTGGTGCATGACTGTAATCCCAGATACTCAGGAGGCTGAGACAGGAGAATCACTTGAACCTGCAAGACCGAGGTTGCAGTGAGTTGAGATCACACCACTGCATTCCAGCCGGGGCAACAGAGCAAGACTCTGTCTCAAACAAAAAAATATTCAGGCCAGGTGCAGTGGCTCATACCTGTAATCCCAGCACTTTGGGAGGCCAAGGCAGGAGGATTACTTGAGCCTAGGAGTTTGAGACCAGCCTGGGGAACATAGCAAGACCCCATCTCTAAAAAATAAAAAATAAGGCCGGGCACAGTGGCTTACGCCTATAATTGCAGCACTTTGGGAGGCCGAGGTGGGTGGATCATCTGAGGTCAGGAGTTCGAGATCAGCCTGACCAACATGGTGAAACCCCATCTCTACTAAAAATACAAAAATTAGTTGGGCGTGGTGGCAGGCGCCTGTAATCCCAGCTACCTGGGAGGCTGAGGCAGGAGAATTGCTTGAACCCCAGGGGCAGAGGTTACAGTGAGCCACTGGGATTGTGCCATTACACTCCAGCCTAGGCGACAAGAGCAAAACTTTGTCTCAAAAAATTAAAAATAAAAACTAAAAACCAACAAAAATTTTAAAAATTATTCCAACAGCATTTTGCATGTAAAAAAAAAAAGATGTCACCTCTTTTCTCACATTTATTTCTTTGTCCCCCTCTCTCCTTCCCTCCATGTTCCTCACACTGTCATCCCCACCTCAGGGGAAGAGGGTGCAGAGACAGATCCCGAGGCTGAGCCGGAGCTGGAGCTGTCCGACTACCCCTGGTTCCACGGGACACTGTCCCGGGTCAAGGCTGCTCAACTGGTTCTGGCAGGAGGGCCCCGGAACCACGGCCTCTTCGTGATCCGCCAAAGTGAGACTCGGCCTGGGGAGTACGTGCTGACTTTCAACTTCCAGGGCAAGGCCAAGGCAAGTGTGTTGGGGGGGGCGTGGGGGTGCAGTGGCCAGCCCTGAGGGAGAGGGGTCATGGTGACCCCGGTCCTAAGGCTGTGCCTCGGAAGCAGCTGCAGGCGAAGCGGTGTGGCATGACTTCCCATGGGCCCCGCTCACCCCAGCCATGCTCCGTGAACCACCTGCGTCCCTCCTACACATCACTGAGGGACTGCAGTCAGCGCTATTTCAGCCTCTCCGTTCTCCAGAAGGGGATCTCCTAGCACTGGATCTTCTGAGGGTCTCCACCCAGAGGTCCCGCAGTGCAGGGCTGGAGCCAGCCAAGGCCCTCAGAGCCCCACCTTCTGCCCCACCCCCGCCAGACAGCCCCTCCTCCCTGCGCAGGTCAGGTCACCAACCCGAGAGGCACACACGGGCAAGCCCTAGAGACCCACCAGGGGAGGAGGACATGGGCTGGGTGGGAGAGCTGTGCAGGGTCTGGGGGGTGGGGTTCAGCATCGGAGGGGACAGCCTGATCAGAGACCTGCAGGGGAGGGAGAATTGTGGAGGGGAAGACAGGCGGGAAGGCGATCCCAACAGCGCCCAGCTGGATCAGAGGCATGATGGTACACCCAGGTGGTGTGCTTTCAAGGAAGAGGATTCTGTGCTATATTGACCTAAAATGCTTTGTTTTTTTGTTTTTTTGTTCGAGACCATCTCGCTCTGTCCTCCAGGCTGGATTGCAGCAGTGCAATCTCAGCTCGTTGCAACCTCCGCTTCCCGGGTTCAAGCGATTCTTGTGCCTCAGCCTCCCAAGTAGCTGGGATTACAGACACGTGCCACCACACCTGGCTAATTTTTGTATTTTTAGTAGAGACGGGGTTTCGCCATGTTGGCCAGGCTGGTTTCGAACTCCTGACCTCAGGTGATCCACCTGCCTCGGCCTCCCAAAGTGCTGGGATTACAGGCGTGAGCCACTGCGCCTGGCCTATTGACCTGAAATTCAAAGGAAAATTTGACAGCAAAGCCGAATGATTATGGGAGGGTGCAATGTGGCCAGAGGGGGCAGGAACCTCAGTGCCCGCCCCCGCATCCCAGGTTTCCGATAAGGAGACACTCAGCCCAGGCTCCTGCCAGGATGGATTTCCTGGCAGCTCCTATTAGAGGAGGGAGAACCTTAGGACTCCTGCTCTAGGCCTGCAGTTGGGGGACAGCGTCTCTCTGCAGGGACCCCGGCTACCCTAACCCCTAGTGGCCCATTGCAGACCCTCTAGTGGCTTCTCTCCTCCGCCGGGTTGGTCCCACTGTGCAGGAGTTAGCACCTCCACCAGGGACATTTCCTTGGCAAGCAGCCACTCTTCCAGTTCCTCCGACAACCAGGTGCTTAAGGCCATCCCTGGTGACGTGCGTTTACTTCTCAGCCAGTGCTGCTCCAGGCAGCCTTCCAGAGGGCCTGGATCTGAATCATGCCCAAGCCAGAGGCTAGGATGGGGGAACACAGGGTGGGCAGGAAGCTCCTCTCCTTCCTGGAACAGGACCCAGCCTTGAACCTGCCTCTCACCTCTCTACCTGGCTGCCCTTCTCCCAGAGTGGAGATGACTGCTCCAGGCTTGATAATTGAATGGTGGAACAAAGCAGGAACCCCGGCCTCCCGCTTACATACCTCCTGGGCGGGAAGATCACTACCTTCCCAGGGGCAACTCTTTCCACCTTCATGGAATAAACGTCTGGAAGGTCTGGGCAGAAGATTGGGATGTGTCCAGCTTGCCTCTCCTCACCCCTGGGGCCCGACTGTGCCCTGCGCAGGCTCTGCCCGGCTATGAGGCTGTGGTGGGACCCCTCTGTGCTGTTTCTCTCGGGCTGAGTCCCTGCATTGTCCTGACAACTTATCTGCTAAGTGGCAGAGCTCACTTGCGAGACCGCCACCCTCTTCCAGGGATTGTCTGTATTTTGTTTGTTTGTTTGTTTTTTAAAAGGATGGGGGGATCTCACCATGTTGGCCAGGCTGGTCTTGAACTCCTGACCTCCAGTGATCCACTCCCCTCAGCCTCCCAAAGTGCTGGGATAACAGGCGTGAGCCACTGCACTTGGCGGATTGTCTTGTCTTTTATGTAAGTGGCCAGACCAGCTCCCCTTCCTGGGCTTGGGGTTATGTGTGTACCCTCAAACAACTCCTCTTAGCTCCCCTGTTGCCACACACACCCCAGAGATAGCCACTTTTTTCTGCAGTGGGATACATGTTGAACAAAATAGGGCTTAAGTCAGAGACCTGTGGCTCACCACTAGACACCACAGGCCTATGGTTTCTTACCCTGAGGCACCTGCCTCATGCAGGCTCTAGAGACCCAGAGAGTAGCCAGCCCTGGGGAGCTTTTCACGCCACTGGGTTTTGGCTCTGCGGGGACAGAGGCCCAACCTCTAGCCTCCTGGGCTGGGGGAACCACCCAAACAGGAGTTTTCTTCCCTGTTCTGTGCTCTGTGACCGTGGGCCAGTCACTCCCCTTCCCTGGGCCTTGGTTTTCCCATCTCTAACATGGGGGCAGTAATCCCTGTCTTCTGGCGTTAGGAGAGGATTAGAGATTAGAGGTGTGTAGGACATGGACCCATAGTAGGGGTGTCCCAGCATGGGGACAATGCCTGATGCCTTCCATCCCAGCCTGGGTCTGTTGCCTCCATTCTCCACCCCTAGATGGAGCTCATGTGTGAGGGGCCCCCTGGCTCTGACACAGCCCCATACAGCCCCTGTGAGCTGGTCCTTCCATCAACCCCCAAAGGCGCTTACCCAGGTGCCCAGCCCCGGACCCACCCCTGACCACACCCACCTGTACCCACAGCACTTGCGCCTGTCCCTGAACGGCCACGGCCAGTGTCACGTACAGCACCTGTGGTTCCAGTCTGTGCTTGACATGCTCCGCCACTTCCACACACACCCCATCCCACTGGAGTCAGGGGGCTCGGCCGATATCACCCTTCGCAGCTATGTGCGGGCCCAGGGCCCCCCGCCAGGTAAGATGCTACCACCTGGCCCGTGTGATTACTCAAGAAGACCCCTTTGATTACTCAAGAATGTGGCCCCTGGGGTAGGATGAGCCCCAGGTCTCCTGTCCCACAGCCTCAGCTGTGTCCCTCCCACCCTAGCCTAGCCACAGCAGTTGCAAGCAGTCAGGTCAGCAGGAGTGGAGGCAGAAGTGGCAGCCCTGAGGCAGCCAGGTCCCTAATGATTCCTTGCAAGGGGAACGGGGTGCCCAAGAGCAGTGCAGGTGGATGTATGGGAGTGGGGACGGGGGTGGATTGGGGCAAATGGGATGAAAGGAGCTGGGGGCGTGGATTCCCAACCCCTGCACAGGGGAGGCTCAGAGCAAAGCTGCTGGAACCCAGCACTAAGGGCATGGGTGCATGTGCATGCGTGTGGTTGTGTGTGTGCATGAGTGTATGTGCAGATGTGCACGCATGTGGCCGTGTGTGTACGTTTACGTGTGCGTGTGTGCGCGAATATGCATGAGCATGTGCATTGCGTGCATGTGTATGCGTGTGCTCATATACGTGCACGTGTGTGCACGCGTGCATGGGCGCGCATGTGCTTGTGTGTGCTTCTGTGAGAGCGTGTGCATCATGTGTGCGTGTGTGTGCACTCCTGTGCGTGTGGCTGTATGGGCGTGCACACACGTGGTTAGGTACGTGTATGTGTGTGTGCTCCTGTTTATGCATATGTGCGGGTGTGCGTGCATATGTGTCCGAGGACATGGGCTGCAACTCAGAAACCTGAGCGTGGGCCCTGGCCCCCTGAGGGATCCCGGCCTCCCTCCAGGATGTGGCTAGCCCAGGTCCCCACTCACTCCCTGCTGCCGCCTCGTTGCAGAGCCGGGCCCCGAGCCCCCTGCCACGCCAGCGCCCCCCGCCTGCTGGAGCGACCCGCCCGGCCAGCACTACTTCTCCAGCCTCGCCGCGGCTACCTGCCCGCCCGCCTCGCCCTGTGACGCCGCCGGCGCCTCTTCGTCGTCCGCCTCGTCATCTTCGGCTGCGTCGGGGCCAGCCCCCACGCGCCCCGTCGAGGGCCCGCTCAGCGTGCGGAGCCGCAGCAACAGCGCCGAGCGCCTGCTGGAGGCCGTGGCCGCCGCCGCCGCTGCCGAGGAGCCCCAGGAGGCTGCGCCTGGCCGCGCGCGCGCCGTGGAGAACCAGTACTCCTTCTACTAGCCCGCGGCGCCGCCCGGGTGGGACACGCCAAGCTCTTCAGTGAAGACACGATGTTATTAAAAGCCTGTTTTAGGGACTGCACCCGGCTCTCCTGTCGTCCTTTCTCCCACGGGGAAGGCGGGGACTGCGGGGCAGCCACTCTCAGAGACCCCCATCCAGCCCAGTGTGGCCTGACACCTGCCAGGCCCCCTTACAGCTGTGTCTCTGGTGGGACAGCTGAGGGACTCCCCATGGGCCATCCGGCAGCACCTGAAAGAGGGCCCAACAGCAAGGGTTAGGGCTTAGGATCCGGAGGGGGTTTTAGTGGAGCTGTGAGGCAGAGAGATGGGGGTGGCAACAACGAGGGGTGCTGGAAAGAGAGGAGGGGGCATTCAGGACACAGGGATGAGGAGCACGCCCAAGTCATACGGAGACCTTGGATGCCAGGAGGAGGAGTCTGGGCTCCGTCTAGGAGGGTAAAGGCGTTTTGGGGCAGATCTATGAAGCCTGGCGGTGTGGACAGGGTGGCACGGCAGAATGTCTCCGTATTAGCCCTTAGGGGATTGGGCAATGGAAGAGGCTGGATTTCCCAGCTGGGTCATAGACTTAGAAGAAGCTTAAAGAGCCCTCCCACCCACCGCACTCCACCCTATTCACACCCTGCCCCACCCCGTCCCATTCCCACCCCACACCTACCCACAGGTGGAATTCCAGCTGTGGCTCCCATGACCCCAAGCTCAGGAGACACTGCCTGCTGGCAGTCCCAGCACCCCATGTTCAAGAAAGATCTTGTTCCTACTAAGCCAAACCTCTGCCTTCCCCCCAACGCCCCAGACGTGGGGTCACAGACCCACGGTCTCCTTGCCCAGGACTGGCCTTGCAGGGCTTGGGCCAGTGATGCATCCATCTTTCTTTCTTTCTCCTTCCTTCCTTCTTCCCTCCCTCCCTCCCTTCCTTCCTGTCTCTTCTCTTTCTCTCTCTCTCTTCTTTCTTTCTTTTTCTTTCTTTTTCTTTTTTGAGACAGGTGCAGTGGCACGATCTTGGCTCACTTGCAGCCTCAACTTCCTGAGTTCAAACTATCCTCCCACGTCAGCCTCCCAAGTATCTGGGACTACAGGCGTGGCCCACCACGTCCAGCTAATTATTTTTGGTAGAGACAGGGTTTCCCCGTGTTGGCCAGGCGGGTCTCAAACTCCTGAGCAATCCTGGGTGGGAGGTGATCCACCCACCTCAGCCTCCCAAAGGGCTGGGATTATAGGCATGAGCCACTGCGCCTGGCCAGTGATGCGAATTTCAGATCCCAGACATCTAAATCTCTCAGGACTGTGACTAACACTCACAGCCTCCTCCCCATAAAAGGGGCATGAACACCCTTGGGCGGCTCCCAGGGCTATCAGTCACCCGGTCCCCATGCACAAAATCACCAGGAAGTGACAGAGCAGGGCCCCCTGCTGCCACCATGGTGAGGGAAGAATACAAATTCAGCGATCAGGAGAGCACCCTGCTACCTCTGCTTCCAGCACCTCCATTCAGTTGTGGCTGGAGCCCTTCTGCCCCCGTGCCCTGGTGGTTTGGGGTCTATGCCAGGCCAAGTACAAGCCCCCATTCCACTCCAACAAGAACAGAGCGGGCTCTGGACTGAGGCTTGGGTTGGGCAGAGGAACAGGGGCAGACTTAAGACTTGGACCCACTGGGCGGGGGCAGTGGTTCACGCCTGTAATCCCAGCACCTTGGGGGGCCAAGGCGGGCAAATCACCTGAGGTCAGGAGTTTGAGACCAGCCTGGCCAACATGGTGAAACCCCTCCTCTACCAAAAATACAAAAAAAAAAAAACTGGCGAGGCGTGGTGGTGCACGCCTGTAATCCCAGCTACTTGGGAGGCTGAGGTGGGAGGATCGCTTGAACCCAGGAGGTGGAGGTTGCAGTGAGCCAAGATTGCACCATTGCACGCCAGCCTGGGTAACAGAGTGAGACTCCGTTTCAAAAAAAAAGACTTTGGACACAGAGTGTGCCAGCCTTCAGGCCCTCCTGTCCTTTCCTCCTGATGTAGTCGGCCATAGCAGAGGCCACTCTCCATGCTGAATGTTCACAACAGAATCAGCACAGAAGCAGGCAAAAGCACTGATGGCTGTCACCCTCACTCAGTGGGGTCTCATGCACATACACACACACATAGAGTATAAGACTGCGGGAGAAGGTCTGTGCCCATCCTAAGGGGGACAGGCGCTGTTCCTGGGGAGTTCACAGGTTAAAGTGGATTCGGGGGGGACAGCAGGAGAAGATGATACGGTGACCCCCCTGGGCTCTCCCAAGGGACGCGGCAGGAAGACCCAGGAGGTCAGTGAAAAGGGAGCTCTCTCTTCAGTCTGGCCACCAGGGTGAGATCCTCAGGTCTGTCACTCAAGAGGGTGCTTCCAGACAGCCCACACTCAGTGGGGGCTCTGGCGAAATCACAGCAGTTGCACAGACGGCAGCAACATTTTCAAGGGGGTTTCATTTGTTCCTCAACAAGCATTTCAGATGCCTGCTCTGTGCCAGGCCAGGACCATGGGATAGCTGAGCCAAGTTTTGGGACCACGAGTGCCCTGGCTGACTGTGACACTGGGTGTTGGGGGCTTGGGGGACTGCAGTTACGGGAGCAGCGAGGTGGGATATGAAGCCTGCAAGGTAGAGAGAGCCTCGAATGCCAGACCAGGGAGTTTGGAAGGTGCTGGGAGCCAATGCCAATTAAAATGGGAGCTGAGATCTCCCTGTAGCCAGAGGGTTGGGGCAAGGATGGATTGGAGGTGGCAAAATGAGGCGGGGCCCAGGGAGGCTGTAGTGGGTCTGGGTGAAGGCAACGAGCCAGGGTGGGGCAGCAGAGGAGGAGGACAGTGACGGAAGAAAGATCATAGCCGGGTGCAGTGGCTCATGCCTGTAATCCCAACACTTTAGGAGGCCAAGGAGGGTGGATTAGCCGGGCTTGGTGGTGGGCATCTGTAGTCCCAGCTACTCAGGAGGCTGAGGCAGGAGAATGGCAAGAACCTGGGAGGCAGAGCTTGCAGTGAGCCAAGATCGCGCCACTGCACTCTAGCCTGGGCGACAGAGCCAGAGTTCATCTCAAAAAAAAAAAAGAAAGAAACTTCCTGCAATGTTGAGGGGCTCTTACATCCCTAGCATTAAGAGACAGCAAAGCAGCCAGGCACAGTGACTCATGCCTGTAATCCCAACACTTTGGGAGGCTGAGGCAGGCAGATCACTTGAGGTCAGGAGTTCGAGACCAGCCTGGCCAACATGGTGAAACCCCATCTCTACTAAAAATATGAAAATTAACCCAGCATGGTGGCGGGCACCTGTAATTCCAGTTACTCGGGAGACTGAGGCAGGAGAATCGCTTGAACTCGGGAGGTGGAGGTTGCAGTGAGCCAAGATTACACCACTGAGCTCCAGCCTGGGCAACAGAGTGAGACTGTCTCAAAAAGGAAAAAAAAAAGCAAAGTAATGCACTAATGTGAATGTTGAGTAATGAATCTCAATCATTGTCCCCAAATCCTGTATTCATTTATTATTTATTTTAAAGAGCAACTTGATCTGTTGCCCAGGCTGGAATGCAGTGGGATAATCACAGCTCACTGCAGCCTCAATCTCCTGGGCTCAAATGATCCTCCCACCTCAGCCTCCCAAGTATTTGGGACTACAGGTAGGTGTCACCACACCCTGCTAATTTTTAATTTTATTGTAGAAATGAGGGGTCTCGCTATGTTTCCCAGGCTGGCCTCGAACTCCTATCCTCAAGCGATTCTCCTGCCTCGGTCCAAAAGCCTTTTTTTTTTTCTTTTTCTTTTTTCTTTTTTTTTTTTTGAGACAGTCTTGCTCTGTCACTCAGGCATCTTCATCTGTTGCCCAGGCTGGAATGCAGTGGTGCGATCTTGGCTCACTGCAACCTCTGCCTCCTGGTTTCAAGCAATTCTCCTGCCTCAGCCTCCCAAGTAGCTAGGACAAGAGGTGCCCACTACCACGCCCAGCTGACTTTTGTATTTTTAGTAGACACTAGGTTTCGCCATGTTGGCCAAACTGGTCTTGAACTCCTGACCTCAGGTGATCCACCCGCCTCGGTCTCCCAAAGTGCTGGGTTTATAGGCATGAGCCACCGTGCCCGGCCTCAAAATCCTTTAATAAGAAAAAAACATGCATTTGGCCAAAACATGCATTTCGCTAGGTAGAAAGTTTTCTGCAGTGCCCACCCTCCTCTAAAAGACCCCAGGCCAGGGGTTTCTAATCTGTTTTGTGCCTCAGGCCCCTGACAGTCTGGGGAAGACTATTATGCCCTGCTCAGCATAATGTTTAAAGTGCACAGAATTAAATACATAGACTCGCAAGGAAAACCAATTACCCTGAAATTCAGTCAAAATATTAAATACAATTAAAAAGTAATCAAAATATTTTTTAAACTGGTGATATAGTAATATACATACTTCTTTATTAACACTTTAAAGAGCAAGCTTTAATAGCAGCCCTCATAACTACTGTAATTTCAGTCAACGATGAGCATGAATGATACTTTTGGGTTCTGAAACAAACTAAATGCGCTGTGAAAAGATCCCTTATTTGGACAAACTCAGTGGCTCACGTCTGTAATCCAGCACTTTGGAAAACTGAGGTAGGAGGATTACTTGAGGCCAGGAGTTCAAGACCAGCCTTGGCAACAGAACAAGACCCACCCCACTCTGCAAAAAACACGGAAAACAGCCGGGCACAGTGGCTCACACCTATAATTCCAGCACTTTAGGAGGCAGAGGGAGCTGGATCACTTGAGACCAGGAGTTCAAGACCAGCCTGGTCAACACAGCAAAACCCCATCTCTACTAAAAATACAAAAAAATTACCTGGGTGTGGTGGCACGCGCCTGTAATCCCAGCTACTCCAGAGGCTGGGGCAGGAGAATCACTTGAACCTGGGAGGCAGAGCTTGCAGTGAGTCAAGATCGTGCCACTGCGCTCCAGCCTAGGCAACAGAGCAAGCAAGATCTGTCTCAAAACTAAATAAATAAAATAAAATAAAATACAGAATTTTAGCCAGATGTGGTGGAGTGTGCCGGTGGTCCCAACTGCTCGGGAGGCTGA